TCCTTGAGATCGTTAATTATTTTAGATTCCACAAATGTTATATCTCTAATATAAAAGGTTTAGCCCTCCTTCGAGCTTTACTATGGTATATCCTTATTATCATTAAAACTAGTGAAATAAGAGTTAATTGGTGGTCTTTCATGCAAAAGCTTTTATTGCTCGCTATGGCCACTTTGAGTTTCTAATCATGCCTTTAAGTGTGACTATACACCAATTGTATATATAGATCTGATGAATTAAGTATTCATAACATATATGGATTAATAGTCATGTGAATCACTTTTATTAGTATTAGAGACATTGAGGTAACATAAATTGTATACAAAATTCTCAAGATGCAAATTCTAACTAAAGAGTGCATCATTCTTGAGGCATGATGATGTGAGTTATCATAACCCAACCCAACTAGGACATGTTCTATTGTGTTGAGCTGTAACAAATAAATCCTAATTACTAGTTTTGGAATATTTTAGATTTTATTTTATTATTCATTTTAAATAAAATACATATTATAGAGCTACACATTCAAATACTAAAAATAAATTCATCCACAAGATTTCTTTCATTTCATCAAAATATATATACACTACGGTACATGGCTACATACAAAAGCTATAAACTAAATAATAAAGTACTCAGGACTGTATAAAATTCAAAATTGAGAAATACCTATAAACTTGGATCTGATCTTGAACTGCTAATCAACAATCTCCTTTCCCTTCCAAGATCTTAAAAACTAGAAGCAAAACCACAGTGAGCTACAACAACTTAACATACCACACAAGTTGATCTAAATTTCTAAATTATTTTTTTTAATATTTTTTAAAATATTTAAATGTAGTAGAATAAATCACTATACTGAGAAATATAATAAAAGCATTATAGTTATTCAATTATTTAAATAATATTACAAAGCAGATAAATAAATTGCAATTCATTTCATGAAGTAGTTCAAGTCAAATTTCCTGAACCTAGGCAAAATCTTAAAGGATTCTGGTCTCTTATGACTTCATTTTATGCTTATAGCACTAGAACATAGCGTATAGCCACCTGAAAATTTCTTATGAACATAAAAGTATTCCCTAACATATACAAAATCTCAAAGGATTCCCTAACACATATAAAATCTCAAAATATTCTGATCTCTTATGACTCCCAGTAGATAATCTTTAATCACGTATGTATATTTTTCATCATATTATATAAGTTAAAGTATAATTGGGCATGTGTTTAATTTGCAAAGTTTTCTATGATGGTAGGTAATAGGATAACCTATAAGGCAAAAATACACATTTTCAGAGAATAACTAATTTATCAGTGATTGTGCAAAATAATATTTAAGACTTTTATTATATTGAATGATTATTTTTTAGAATCTAGATAATTTTCTATCATTAAAAATGCCACAAATTTTAAAACTCCTATTGTAAAATTTATAAAAAAATATTCAAAAAATTTATAATCTTTATCTCTATAACATATAAAAAGTTACAGCAAAAGTTTTATTAGTGTAAAGTTATCTATCTTTTTCACTAATAGAGATAAAATTTTAATTAAAAATTTTGATAAAATTTATGTATTTTTAAAAATTGAGATAGACATAATGTTACATACCTTAAGATGAATATGTTTCCCAACTGTACCGATAGACAAAAATGACTAGAAGTTGCCCAAAATTGGGCTTGTTCTTTCTCTCTCCTCTATTTTTCTCTTCTCTCCCCTTTTTTGTTAGCCTCTATTAAAAAAACTCCAAAAGGCCAAAACATTTTAAGATTTCTTTTAGTGGAATAATATTTTATAATAAAATATTAAAAGGTTATTTAGATAATTATACTAATTATTAAACTATTATCTCAAAATCATTTTATATCTTCAAATCTAGAGATCCACAAATTATACAAACATATTCATAAATTATTTAAGCATGTCTAGAACATTCTGGAGAAATCGGTTTGCAAATGGAAGTCTAATGATCCCAAAATTTTTACTTGTACTGGCAAGTGTCAATTTCTTATGGAATTTCACCTAAGCCCAAAAATTGTAAAAATTTTAGGGAAGCTAAAACACTGTAATAGCTATGTTATGATAAAGAAAATTTGTGATTTGAACTTATAATGACTCCTAAAAATTTTTTTGATTGTCATAGATTGAAAAAAAATTCTTCAAAAAATTAGGGGCCTAAACCTACCCACCTTAAGAAAAATATCATCCTAAATATCTCCAAACTAGAATGAGTTAAAAAAAACTTGCATGTATACTAATCTCAGATTCTTTCTCCTAAGTAGCCTCTCTAACTGTCTTATGCGTCTACTACACCTTGACCATCAAAATCTATTTTCTCCCCAATTTCCTCACTTCATAAGCCTGAATCCTAACAGTTCTTTACTATATTGCAGATTTTGATGAACATCAATATCATCAATAGGTAATCTCTTTCTAGAATCATATATCCACTTTCTCAAAGAAGACACAGAATATATTATGTATATCAAACATATGACCACATAACAATAACATATAAGCAGAACTACAAATCCTTTCAATGATCTCAAAAGATCTAATATACCTTAAACTAAGCTTCTTGATTCTCCCAAATTTACTTACACTTTTAATAGGGCTAACTTTGGCATAAATAAAGCGATCAATCTAAAATTCAACCAACCTATGTTTTTTATTGTAATATTGCTTCTGCCTATCCTTTGTAGATTTCAATCTTTCTCTGATCAAATAGATTGTTGTTGTGCCATTCATAGAGGCTAGTCCTATCACCTATATATCTTCCACCTCTCTTAAAGTTAAAGGAGTCTTGCACTTCCTACTATATAGAGTTTCGTAAGGATTCATACCTATACTAGATTGATAAAAGTTTTTATAAGAAAACTCTATCAGCGGGATATGATTCTCCCAACTATCCATAAAATTCAGTACACATAGTCTCAGAAGATCCTCTTGTACTTGAAAAATACTTTTAGATCGTCGTATGTCTATATATAAAAAACTATACTGATGTGCAACTTTATACTAAATCTCTATTAAATACCTCTTCATAATTTAGAGGTAAACCTATCATCTTGATCAGATACAATCACCTCAGTACACCGTGTGATCTAATAATATCTTTGATTTATATTTGTGTTAACCAATCTACTAGATCATTCTATTAAATTAAAATTAAATGAGTAGACTTCATCAATCGATTTATAATAACCTAGATATCATCCTACCCCTACCTTGATATAGAAAAACCCATAGCAAAATTTATCATTACCTCTTCCTATTTTTACTATGGAATATGTAATGACAGAATACTGCCCAATAGCTAATGCTCTACCTTCAATAACCTGTAGGCCTCACACTTTAAAACAAACTTTTTTATGTCCTTCAATCCAGACCAATAAAATATTCCCTTCAAATCTTTATACATATGCTACTTCTTGGATGAATAATATAGCTTGAATAATGAGCTTCATATAGAATATCCTGCCTTAGATCTTTAAAAATAGGAACCCAAAGTCTATCCTTATAGAAAATGACACAATAATCAAAAACTCGTAGTTCATATTTCTTACTAGATCTGATCTGATTAATTAACTTTGGGTATTTTGCATCTATTTTTTGAGCTTCATGAATATTTTCTTCTAAAGAAGGCTGAATAATCATCTGAGTCACTACATCAGAATCATAACCAGTAGAAGAAATCACCTCCAACTGTAATATCTCCATATCTCATTTCAAATTCTCATCAAAAGTGAGTTGCATACTTGATAATACAGAAGACTTCATGCTCAGAGCGTCTGCCAACACATTAGCTTACTAGGCTGATATTGAATAGTCAGATCATAGTCCTTAATTAATTCAAGCCACATCCTTTGTCTCAAATTTAGATCCTTTTGAGTGAATATACACTTTAGACTATGATGATTAATGAAAATCTCACACCTGACATTGTACAAATAATGACTCCAAATATTCAAAGTAAATACAACAACAACAAACTCTAGATCATTCATCAGATATTTCCTTCTAGATAGCTTCAATTATCTTGTCACTCGACTATACTGAATCAAAACATATTACAAACCTCTCTATGAAGCATCGTAATTGAATACTTGAAATCCTTCTGTACTAGAAGGAAGGGCCAAAACTGAATCATAAGTCAAATAATCATTCAATATCTGAAACTAGCATCACACTCTGGTGTCTAAATAAAAGCTATTGACTTCTGAGTTAGTCTCATTAGAGGTGCTAAAATTTGAGAAAACTCATTCACAAACTTCCTGTAATATACAAATATACCTAAGAAACTGCATATCTCAAACACAATAGTAGGCCTTGACCAATTAGTGACTGCCTGAACTTTATGGGGATCAATAGAGATACCCTTACCACTAACCACGTGTAATTAATAATAAAAAATAATATAATTTAAAATATAAATTATTAAATATACAATTAATAACCAAAATAATAATTTAATAATTAATGAGTAGTAGAATTTTTAAGTGATTAATGAGATAATAAATAATAAAATTTATGATTAAAACTAACTAAATAATACTTAAATAATTAATCAAATTATTAGTAGGAATATTATTTAAATAATTAGTTATTAGTTGTATAATTGCCATTAAATTATTTAGGTATTAATTATCAAATTATTTATTATATTAATAATTATCTAATTATCAAACAATCATTTATATTACATTTAAAACAAATTAATAATTAAAACTAATTTAAGTGATTAAATTCATATTTAAATCTCTAATAATCTTAAATCCTGAGAAATGTTGCCAAACAATTTATTTGAATTTAACATGATTTAACATTTATCATACCAAATAATTTTTAAAATTTAACATACACTAAATTTTTTAAATCCGGATTTACAAGTTTTAGTAAATATCATTAAATTAAATCAAAAACAATACCAAACAGCCCCTAAGATTTAATAAATCCGGATTTAGACTATTTACAAAATTCTAATTAAAAGAAATGTTGGTGCATGCAAATAGCCCCCAAGAATTGATTGCTGCCTTGCCAGGGCCAGGGGAATGTGTTAGGAACGGCGGGCTTCATGGAAGCAGAGCGCGACAGGAGGCCCATCAGGCTAGTAAACTTCGTCTCCGAGGAGCAGGTCTCACCGTAAAACCCTGATCTGTAACCCTAGTCCTTGACTTCGTTCGATTCATTTTCGCAAATCCTGCTTTCTTATACCAACTCCGCTCTCGCTTGCTGCTATAGTTGGATGAAGCCAGAAAGACCCGAGGAGAGCGTGTCGAAGATGGCACGGCGCAGAGAGACCGACCATTGTACGAGGTATCGTTCCATACTATATAGGTCCTGCTTTTGCTTGTACTGCCATTTTTTCTGATTGATTTAAATTGTTCTCTTAAGTTTTTGTATTCGTTTGATTAGCCGTGGATATTGACAATTTAAACAGTCTCCGTTGTTTGCAGTGGATATGGTGAATAAATTTACTTGCTTGTTGTGTTTCTGAAAGAATGTCATTGCTCAAACTGTACATTTATACATTGGTCTTCTGAATAAACTTGTAGGGGTTGTTTGGTTCCGTGTTATATATGAAATTGTCAATGTTGTTGGATCTGTCAATTATTGTGTTTTGCTCAGGTTTATTGTATTTAAACTTGCAGTATTTTGATATTTTCAAGATTGTAACTGTTTGGTTTAATGTTATCTTTAGAGTCCAGTACAAATGTGTTAAGATTGCTCATTATTATTATCCCTAGTAGGAAAAAGCTCATTTGAAAGCCAGGATGTTTCACTGAATATAATTTATCAATGATTGAACATGAAAGCAATTATGTTATCATCCATAGTTATAATGATTATATCTCGATTCAGAAGTAGTACTGAAAATATAACAACAATAAATGCTGGAGCAGGGTGCTCATGCACAATCATATGCCACTCAATTACATGGAATAACGTTAATCAGAAATCATTAGACCTAAGATATGCATATCGGTCTAAGAAAAAAGGTTTTTTTGTAGGTTACATTGAATGGCCAACTTTTAAATTTTTAAACAACAACTCTTCATAAATTTTACATTGCATGGTATCCTAAGCACGTTGGGAAATAAATACCAACAAAAGCCTGCTGAAATTGTAAGTAAATCATCTTTTTTGGCCTAATGATTCAGCTCTTTCCATCCGCTAGAAGTTTCTGCTCTATTCTATCTGCTAGAAGTAACTACATAACAGTAAGATTGACTTCAATAAAAATGATCATGCTAATAAAATTTCATCAAAATGATGAACCATGGTGACAAAAAGAATAGAATTTTTTTTTGGATCGGTAAGTAATAAATTGCAAAGTATATTGCTTAAACCCGTGACTTGAAGAAGCAAATGGCCACAGGTCATTTCATAAGGAGAAAACATAAAAAAATGGAATTCAAGTACGCACATAGTACTTGAAAAAACATCAATATAAATAAAAAATTCACAAACAAAAACAACAATGAGGTTTTTTCCAAGTAAAAATTATTCCTTCAAATCTTCTTGCGACAAAAGTGACAATTTGGGTCATTATTTTAAGGTTATTATTTTAAATCAAGGTGATTAGATATTTATAGAGCCATATTATCTTTGTTAACAAAGTTTTAAATAATTATTGGAGTTACCTAGAACTTGTTTTAGTTTTCAACCAATCTTGTTTTTGGTACCCAGTCCATTAATTAGTGAATGTTGCTTCTGCTTGCATTTGATCATTGAAAGAGGTCGCTTGCTGTAGAAGTGGTGGATGAGATTCAATTGAGGAGTTTGGGTCGAATGATCATTAAATAATGGGGGATCATAACATAGAGTCTAGAGTAAAGTTTACAATTGCACAATAAGGTATTGAGATATTTTTCGTATGTCAGTTGAGGCGTAAGCCTCTAGGCATTTTGAGAAGTATGCCTCTCAATATAAATGCACAAAGTCAGATTGCTTGCAAGGAGTAATATATTAACATCTTAAACTATTAATATTTTAAAAAATAACATATTATTATTCTAACATTGTAAGAAGTATTAATTGCAATAATATCAGGTAACAAATTGCGCAAAGTAGAAGTAGAATGCAAACATCAAACTTTTTCTTTATAATTGCAGAAGAACTGACTCTTAATAAGACACAATGGAGCAAAAGGATTCATGTTAAGTTTTATTATTGTGATATATTAAAGTAAGAAGCAAGGCATAACATAATAATTCAAAGTATAACAACTGAAAATGAGTTTAAAATAATAAGTTTATCTCTTCCATTCCTACAGTTCAATATCCAATTAAGAACATAATAAGTAACTAAATAGAAATCTTCAACACTTTCATCACTCCCATGCCACATCTTCAGCTCTGTTGATGTTCTCCCAATATGTATCCTCTTGTTTAATCTCAGTCATTTTCCTCTTCCCTAATTAGTAATAGTCGATTAGAAATTAAAATATTATTTAAAGTTTGAAACAACTTCAAATACCTAACTTTTTGTAAATATTAGATATCTTTTATTTTTTATTTTTTGCTTATTTGCATTAGATATAATAATTATATTTCTATCCCGTCAAAGAAATTAGTATTTAAATCTTCTTGTGAAACAAGTATGCACGTGAGAAGGTTGGAGTAGCTCCAGTGGAAGATAATATTAGAGAGAGTCACCTTAGATGGTTAGGAGAGTAGATGTATTAGTTTTGGCCTATGTTATGAAAGGTAGAGGAAGTCCTAAAACGACTTGGTTAGAAAATAACAACAATTACCGTTTATTAGATTTAAATGAAAAATTGACTCTTAATAAGACACAATGGAGCAAAAGGATTCATGTAATCGATCCCATATGGTGGGATCAAGGCTTGTTGTTGTTGTCGTTGTAAATCAGATGGTGTGACTTTGTTATCATCCTCAAATCATTTATCATCTAATGGCTTGTCATCACAAAGTAATGGTTCCTCGTCATTCTTCAAAGAATTTTTCCTCAAATTTCTATCATTAAATCTCAGATGATTTCTTTTTTCTATAAGAACTTGATTACATATACTCCAATTTTTCTTACAACAACTTGGCGAACATTTAAGTTCCAATATTGTAACAACAAATTACTGTAGCTCTGAAGTGCTATCACCAAATTAGATCCACCATTATTGAATTTAAAAGAATAAAAGCATAGCTCAAATTAAGAGTCATTTTTGGAATCAGTACTAAAAAAAAATTACTAGGAGAATATTGTGCAAGTGTATCTTTGATTTGCTATAGTCCAAAGAACCCTTTCTTATTTTGAATGGTATAAGTTGCATATTAGCATTTTTCCTCTCAATTGAGTCAGCTACTCAGCTATCAACTTATCCATACAATAGTTTAATCCTAATTTGATCTCAAGATTGCTCGACTTGTTCTCAGAGTATTGGAATTGAGGATAAAGGTAATGTCTTGTAGCATTTAAATGGAGTTGAAGCTCCCACTCCTCATTAATGATTTTTCATATCTCCTTATAACTAAGACTCATCTCCTCAATTATGGGCTATCAACTCTTTAGCCTTATCCATTGCATTATGAATAAAGTCATAGATGACTTTTTCTCTACATCAACCATCATCAAAACTTGAACCAATGTCCCTGACGTTGTTATTGCATATATAACATTCAGCCAAAACTTTTCATTGAGAATAATCCTCATTCTCAAAACTGCAGAAAAATGAGAAAAAGGAGTTATTGGGAACGTGATTTGACGAACCAAACAACACAAAAAAAAAATTCCTCCGTTTTAGGAAACTGAGAAGGCAAAAAAACGCTCAAACAAACAAAGCCTACATCAACCATCATCAAAACTTGAACCAATGTCCCTGACGTTGTTATGCATATATAACATTCAGCCAAAACTTTTCATTGAGAATAATCCTCCTACTTTTCATTAGATTTCTTATTCAAGTATTGTTAAGCCATTGTGTTGAAGTGAACATAAATTACAAAGATCCTTGCTTTCAATATGCTGTGTAGAGTCAAATAAAAAGTAGTTAATCTTATTGTGCCAGGCTGTAGAAGCTCCCTTTTAGCAAATTTTCTCATTAAAGCTATGCCCCATGAATGATTGGTGATGAATTTATTTATCTTCTTTGCTTTGGTCAAGACAATCTTGTGCTGACGTAAGCTACCAAGTTTCTATAAAATCAAATCTATGTAGTGTGCTGCACAAGGGGTCTGCTACAAATGTTTTCTTTTCTTCAACTTATTTTCAGCTGCCCTTTAAGTAATAGCATTGTCTATCATATCTTGAACCACTAGATATTCCTCAATCTCTTCTATCACTCCATCAAGAAGTACAAAATTGTACTCCACACCCTTTACTTGTTCTAATGCTTCAAAAGACTATAAGAAAAGAGTGTCATAAGGATTATCAATTAGAATATCGATCAAGCTTCTATTCGTTATATCAGACCAACTATCTAATATCATTGTCACTCAAATTTTATTCAAGTCCTCTTAATCTCTTTAATGCCTTGTCATTATTGTTCAACTTCTTTAGTACCGAAGTTCTCAAATCATATACATATATGATGGTCTCAAACTTGTCCATCTAAACCTATATAACATATCATGTAGGAAGAAGAAGGGGAGGTTGCTAGATTACTTGGAATTGCATTCTCTTAAAAGAACCTTCTAATATCTCTACAAATACGTCTGTGCACCTCTCTAGAATTTTTAGAAAACATCCCAACCTTTTCTTGTATATGCTCATTTCGTATCCTATCTCTAAGGGTAAAGCCACTCATCCACCTAAGCATCCTCATATCTGCGACACTTAACTTAGTATTATGCTTCTCTTTTAATGGTCAACATTCGACATCATAAAGCATTGCATGTCTCACCACCATCTTATAGAATTTTCCCTTAAAGTTTGAGGGAGTCTTTTCTATCGCACAACAAGCCTGATGCATTCCTCCACTTCAACTGTCCAACTTGAATTATGCTGATAATATCCCCATCTATTTCACCATCACTCTGAACAATAGATCCAAGATATTTAAAATGCGTACTCTTATTAATGACTTGATCGCCCAAAGTCACAATCCCCTTAGTGGTCTATTGTTACTAAAATTACACTTCATATAATCAGTTTTAGATTTGCTCAAGCGAAAACCTTTAGACTCTAAGGTTGACCTCCATAATTTAAGTATACCTTCAACTCCCTCTCTAGTCTTATCAATAAGAAGAATATCATCTGCAAAAAGCATACACCAAGGTACATTCTCTTGCAAATGTCTTGTCAGAACATCCATGACTAAAGCAAAAAGATACGGACTTAAAGCTGATCCTTGATGTAAT